AAAAGGTTAAATGGCTTCAAACATCTGCTAAGTTCATGGCATAAACCAACAGACATGTTCCTGTTTTTAGTATTTTACATCACTTAATAATGTAGCTGTTTATGTTTTTAATATAATTTTCAAATCGTATGTTTTTTTATGATTGTCTACTGTTGTACTGATAAATATCTCCTGGAGGGTAAACTATATCTTGGCTGCAAGTATCAAGCTGTGAAATCCTTCGTTTTCTACAACTGATAGGAGTTGGTCATTAATTATGAAGTTTAGCAACTTCTCTGTAAACATTTGAGCTCCGTAGTTTCAGCGATGTCTTCTTCTTGTTCAATCCGAAGCAGGCAGCCTGATTTGGGGCAGCTGCGCTCAGTCTGTCCCTCCTCAGAGACGGGCAGACTGAGCGGGGCAGATTGGACGCGGCTGGCCGGGGTCAAGTCGCCTCTTTCGGTTTGACCAAAGAGCAGCGCCCCGCTGAAGCCACAGAGCTCGAATGTCCATCGTAAAACTAACTTTAACGTGGTTTAATGTGGCGCTATGGCTCTGCAGACATTGCATGTTGCTGTTTTGTTTTGTGGTGTTTAGTGTAAAATACTTCCACACAGCGGACATGTTTAGATGAAAAGTTTGTTAGCTGTTATCCACAGTGCTGCTAACTCAGTCCTCACGTTGTAGCTGGCTGCAAACTATGAACTGGATTTCTTGAATGTGAGGTGGGTCTTATTACTCTGGGCTCATGAGACACGCTGCTGTTCAGGAAATCCACAGTTCATAGTTTGAAGCCAACATGCATCATGGATCGGAAATATCGGCAGGTGGATCGGTAAAATCCGATACGTAAATTATGCTGGTATCAGAGGCCGATACTGATACTGGATCGGATCGGCCCCATCCCTAGTTAAAACATTGCATGTTTTAAATTTAATTCTAAAATGTCATATGTTAATTGTTTATTCATTCAAATGTGTGTTTTAAGTAATCTTTCTTTAAGATAATACATTTGTCTTATTTTATCTTTTAAAAGGAAACTTTTAAGGCAGAAAAAGGGACTTTAGATTTTATAAAACAAGCCAAGAGTTTAGGACCACCTCTTCCCGAGATGAACTTTCATCTCTGTTCTAACAGAGAGTAAAGTTTCACTTTTAAGAAAAACTCCACAGAGACAGACTGGTACAGAGAACTGACAGAGGAGAAGCAACTTCACACTGGACCTCAGAAAAACCTTTGCACTTGAACACTAACAAATTTCAGAGAGAGAAGAATATTTCCTAGCGAGACATCCTAGGAAAAAATAATTGAAAGAAGCAACTCTTCTGTAGACGTTTCAAGACGAAAGAAAGATACAGAACCTGGCCAGACCAGAACCATGCTGGCATTGACCCGAGAGCTGTCTGCCAGGCAACGGTCACACTGCAAAGTGGTATCACAGCTGACTACCATGGACCTTCATTCCTCCAACGATGACAGGTGAACTTTGAGGAGACTTCAGCCTCTCAGTCACCGGAATATCTGAGGCTGGTACCATTTAAGCAGCTGTCAGAACCATGCTCTGACCATCTAGATCCTGGTAGGACAGAGACTTTTCAATGCCTTTCTGGTGACGCTACATCACAACTTATCAAACAAACTTAGCTCACCTGAGGGTGCATTCACACCAGCCCCGTTTAGTCTGCTTTAATCGAACTCTAGCTCGTTTTCCTAGGAAGTCCGGTTCATTTGGGGAGGTGTGAACGCGCCATCGAACTCTGTCATGGAACAAAAAGGTGAACTCTGGCCCGGGCTAAAACCTAGGTCTCGGTTCGGTAGAAGAAAACTCCAGCGCGGTTTGAGTGCAGTATGAATGTTAGCAGACCAGGCCCTGGTCCACAAACAAGAAGTGGAGTACAGCGCAGGGCAAACAAACACGCATTTCTCTTACCTCGTATGGAGCCACCAGTTGCCTTGTGTGAAAAACAATATTCTCCATGGTCTTCTGCCTCATCTTCCGCTCATGCTGAGTCCATTGTTGAAAAATGACAAAATATAACTCCTAAAACTGCTAAAACTTGATGCCACTCAGTTTTTGTTTTCATTTCCAGAAGAAGAAAAAGAAGAAGTGTCTTCTTCAGAGGTTTTTGTGTCATTTCTTTCAGTAGTTCTAGGTGTAGCGCCACCACAGGCGAGTGGGGGAACCGGTTGGTTAAATAAGCTGGCTCGACTGCACAGTGCAGTGTGAATGCAAATGCACCAGCTCAAATGTAAACAAAATGTCATGAATATTGGTCCACAACTGAACTGAGTTTACCGGACTATCAGGTGTGAAAACAATCATAGATACAATTTTAACCACTTCACAATCAGAAGCCAGTCCAAAGTCTGTCTTTTAAGTTTCACTAATATATCAATTAGACCTTTGATTCAACATCATTTGATATTCTGTTAATTTTTGTCATGCATATTTTTCATATATATCGTAGATTTTATGTATTTTATTATAAAAATAATAAAATACATAAAATCAACTGAATTTATGATTGTTTTGGCATATCTGTGTGTATTAACTGATTTTATGCCTTTAAACATGAGAAAAGAACACACGTTCACGTTACATTATTTTTGGGTAAATAGAGACTGATTTTCCTCTCCAAGAGAGGTGATGCCCAAACAACAAGGTTATTTGCATAATAAATGCATATCTTATGAGCTTAACTCATAATTGATAATTAACAATATATTTACACCCCATATCACTACACATGACTGCACAGCCTCTTCACCATCAAATCTCACTGTTAAATATGCTGATGACATCACATTGTTGGAGCTCATCAATGACAACAATGAGCCAACATATAGAGAACTGAAGTAAAACAATTGGTATCATGGTGTCACAACCACCACTTGGTTATTAACAAAGAAAACTAAGGAAATTATTGTGGATTTTCGCAAACAAAGTAAAAACATCAACTCTCCATTTTACACCAGAATAAAAGCAGTTGAGAGGGTCACAAAATTCAAATTTCTGGGTGTGACAGTGACAGAGAACCTGACCTGGGGGTACTAACAGTGCCTCAGTCATTGGAAAGGCCCAGCAGCATATTTTCTTTCTGAGGAAACTGAAATGGGCCAAAATTTCTCAGCAGCTTATGATCAACTTCTATAACTGTGCTATTGGAAGTGCATTAACCTGTGGATTTCTAGAGTGGTTCTCCAGCTGCACTAAGGCGGACCAGCAGACTCTCCATAGGGTTAAAACAGCTGGGAAGATCATCGGGACTACCCACCTGAAAATCAGAACTATCTATACGAGTCAACAACATCCTGCAGGACAGGTAACATCCTGCACATGGCCAATTCCAGGGTTATTCAACAAAACTGCTCAGGGGACCACAGTTTCTGAAAGCCAACAGCTCGGGGGTCGGACAACCAGTGATTAAAATCCATCCATCCATTATCTTTTACACACTTCTTCCATTTGTGTAACAGGGGTCACTGGTGCCCATGTCCAGCAATCACTGTGTGAGGGGCAGGGTACACCCTGGACAGGGTCACACAGAGACTAACAACCATTCACTCACACCTAGGGACAATATAGAGTCACCAGTCAGCTTAACATGCATGTTTTTGGTCTGCGGGAGGAA